AAAATTATAAATTGAATTTTTCAATGAAATTAAATAAAGTAGTCATTTTCATTTTTAATCTTGTGTATAAATATATTTATTTTTTGCTCAGAGACATTTTCTAAAAGATTAAGATGTAAATTATTGTAGATGCACTTAATAAATGTATATATATTATTTTATAATAATTATTGATTGTATTTATTCGCCTAGGTACTTTTCAATATCTAGCATTATCATTTTTTTTTAATGTCTACTACTATATGCATCTATAGATAAATGCGTTATACTATATTGATTACTTATTCAATATGCATTACATGACTGGCATATTTATTCACATATTGTTCAAAGAGTTTTGCTCTGTATATTAATAATAAATAAATAAAAGAATTAAAATTTACTGATTATTTGATGCTATTTTAGGATTAATATAATTCATGTAGGACTTAGGTTGGAATTTAAGAATCATTTGTAGATTGGAATCATTTTTCACCAAAGATTTTAAATTATTTTTATCGACAGTTGATAAATCTAAGGGCAGATCTTATTTTACTCTAAATATGTTTCAATTTTTTCAAGTTAATTACGTTTAGGATGTATTTCTTCAAATTTTGGGCTATAAACAAGAGCTTATACAAACATTTTAATATATTATTAGTTATTATAATTATATATATATATGTATATTTGATATACATACATATATAATTATTATTAACCGATAACTAAGCGTTATGATAAAAATTATATGAAAATAAAAAGAATACTATTAAATATATCTGTAAAGGGGTTCCCAAACGTTAAAATCTTATAATTTGTAACTGACCGAAAACGGAAACGTAATTTTTGGAGGAATCCGGCGACACCTGGAGAAAGGATTCTTTATGTCTAAAGGCTTTCTTTAGTGAGTCTAGTTTGTACAATAGCTTACTACACATATTATTTATACTATACTTCTTTTGTCATTCCATAAAATAGAGATAGAAAAATAGAAATTTTGTATTATATTATATTATATAATAACATTAATGTAAAATATTAGTTATGTTGTGTGGTTCGTTGTTGCACAAATGGACGAATGAATGAGCTCAAACTAAAATACTTTTGGTTTGTAGATATCATCTGTACCTTTTCACTACCTTGCACTTTCAGATATTTTTTTCAATTCCTGACAGTAAGAGCTTCTTAGATTTTTGAATTTCACAATCATTTCTTTTGGCTCAAGCCCAGGAATATTTAATTCATGGCTTATCCTATCAGCTGCAGCTGCGTGCAAATCTGTATCGCGGTATTCATCTAAAGTTTGGTCATACAACACTTTTTCCATAGAATATATCTCCAAAACATGTGTGGTTTCATTGTCATTAAACTTTTTAATTCCTCGCTGTTGTGACGACATCTTGGCTTCACAAACAATATTTCACGACTGAAATCAAACACGTTTGATCCGTCCACGCTTGAGTCATGGGCTAATAATTAAGGTAGGTTTACACGAGACGTGAGCCACGATCGTAGTCTTTAGAAGCGTGGCTCACGGTTTGTGTAAACAGACAATTCGTACTTCACGATCGTGGTATTATCGTCCACGAACCTGTTACGACTGGTTCGTGCAATATCAAACCATGTTAGATATATCAGTCACGAAAGCTCAATCGTGGTGTACTGTTTGTCTGATTATGTAAATATTTTTATAACATTTTGACTAAAACTTTGATTTTGTCTCCACGATCCATTTGTGATTTCATAGTTATAATCTTCGTCATCAATAAAACCCGGTGATAAATAGGCTTAACTTGTTTTTCGTAATCAATTATTTATTGCACAACAAGCGACAACAATTTTATCGACTTTATGAGGTATCAACGGGATTGGTCTTTCAAAAATTCTAAATTTGCTCACAAGTATATCAAAAGCATTTTCTGATATTCTTCTAGCCCTGGATAATCTATAGTTGAAAATTGCTTTTTCTCTTGTTAAATTTCTTTTGTTGTACGGCTTTATCAAATGCGTCTTGAGCGGAAAAGCATCATCAGCTAGAAAAACAAAATCGTCTGGGGTATTTAGAGTATTGTTTTCTAATGCTTCAAAAAAGAGCTTTCTTGAAATACACCACCATCTGATGCCTTTCCATTTGCACCAATCGCTGTTTCGATTGTTGAGCCAACACACCAGACAAAATAGAACATGCTTCCGCCACTAACGACTTCATCTTACTGAATTAAAATCATATTAACGTGTAAACACCTTCACGATTCGTGAGACGCTTTTTGAAACCACGCTCGTGAGTCACAACTTACGTGATAGTGAAATACACTCGTGGCTCACGTCTTGTGTAAACCTACATTTACGAAAGCAAATTTAACTACTGTATCTTCCTATAGAAACGTATTCCACGAAAGCTTGACTCACTCTTGTGAATCACGCCCCGTGGAAACGCACCAAAATAGGCGTGTTTTGGTGATACAATTTTGAGCAATCTGTTTAGTAGCTTTCTGTAATTGTGTGGTAGCCGAACGCACTTTTCGGCAACCGTATTGCCCAACAAACAATTGAAAACTACATATACTGTTTTCGGTTATTAATAATTTACTGATAAAGACTATTATCCAATCATTCCTTCCATTTTCTATAATATTATACAGTAAACAATGCTCAATAATTACGTGCGTTCCTAACGGACGCCGTTCATTGTCCGAAAGTTTGCGTTCCCGTCTTCCTTCCATCCGCACCCAACTAATACGCACGATTAGTTCTTACGTCATGCATTTTTTATCAGTAATAATTGGATTGTTTAAATACAAAAAAATTAATTATACAATTAAAAACACATGTGATGTATTTAGATTTTGAGTGGAGCGAAGAAGCTTATGGTTTTACAAAGATGTTTATTTTTTTTACCCGTGTGGCAACTTTTATATCAGAAGACTTGCTCGGATTTCTACGTGTAGCACCTTTTCTAAAAATAAATTTTACTAACGAGGTACTTTAGATAGGTCATTTTACAATTTTCCCAGCTAATGTAAAAAACGTGGGGAAATCGGTACAACATAATAAATATTATTTAAGAAAATATATAGAGCCTATTGGATTATTTTACTATAATATGACATATAATATATTGTTGGTAGATAAAATTGTTCTGTATACATAACTATAATAAATATTTAATATTTTTGAAAAAAAAGTAAATATTAATGTCTGAAATCGGATTCTGATTATAATAAATGTACTTTTCCAATTATTGTAACTTATGTTTTTTCTTAGAATGAAAACTAAATAAAAACAAATTTTTGCTCCGATAAAATTTTTTTTCGTCATTCTTTAAATTTTCCGAGAATTTTTCATGATAATTGAGGATTGGGGGGAGATAAAAGATTGAAATTGATAAATTTACGGTGTCACAATTTATCTTTATTTTAAATTTGTATGGCTTATGTTTTTTAACAGAAATATTGCTCTTATAGTAAAACAACAATCATCTTCTTTGTTGAATTTTTAATTTAGTTGGTGAGACTTTTTCGATTTTCCAAGTAATTTTTTTCATTAATTGAGCAAAACCGAAAAAACGTTGAAAAGGGAAAATTTAACAAAATTGCTTTTATTATTTTCAATTTTCTTTTTCGTTGTAATTCAGTTAAATATATATATATTTAAGAGACCTTTAAATTTTGACAGAAAACTTATATTTACTTTTTCTAGACTTAGTAAAATATTTATAACTGAGCTATTTATAGACATTTTAATTGTATGAGTTTATTTGGTAGGTACTTTGTGGATAACATTGTTAGACATAGGTAAACATAACAGAAATGCTTGAAAGTTCAACAGGAGGTTCATTAAACTATACCAGGTGATTCATTTAAGTGGGTACAATCATTATCTTAGAAACTATTAAGTGTTTTCAGGTTTTGCTTTCTCAAATTTATAAAAAATAAGTAGCTTTATAATTTTATAATAATATTATTTTTTGTCACCCTTTTTTTGGGGGGTAAAACCACCACTTTTGATTTTGAAATGGCAACCTATATTAAAAATTCCATAATTTGATAGAGTATTAGTTAAAATAAGTATTAATGTTGCCATTTTTGATTTCTGTAAAGTCGTTAACGAGATAATCCACTTTTAATTTTTGATTGGTGGAGAATAGTGGTGTAATATTAACACGCCGCCCGCCGTACCACCACACAAATGATACTCCACAAGTCTCTACTAACCCAAACTTAAAAGTGAAATATTTCGTAAACGGATCGATGGAAATTAAAAATGTCAACATTAAAATTTATTTTAACTTATAATCTGCAAATGCCCCACCGTATGTATCCAATTTAATCCTCCACAATGANTACTCTCGAAAATATTGGTGACAAGAAATAACATGATTATAAAAATGTAGAGCTGCTTGTTTCTTATATATTTTAGAAAACAAAATCTGAAAAAAGTTAATAATTTTCGAGATAGAGAGTGTACACCCTTAAATGAATCACCCGGTATGTCGTATTTTTAAATCAAAAGAAAAATTGAATATATTGTAGTTTTTTTTTTTTAGAATATTTAATTCTGACGAAAATCAGCTTTTAAAATACGGCCTTTTAAACGTGTATAACCAATCTGCGCTCATTATCGTTTTTCGTTTGCAAAGATTAATCGTTGTGCACAGAAATAAATTATGTTCCTCTCTATGTATTCTATCTTCATAACTTCACACTTATAACAGGGCCTCACCCGTGGTTCGGAGNTCTCACAAGCGTTATGGATGATAACAACAAAATGTATTAATATACACATAACTGTATTACATTTTATATTTTAATAAACCACTTACCTTTGTAATAGACTCTTGCTACGTTTACCGATCGCTGTAGACATAAGCACTGGAAAGGCACTAATTTCTTGTCGATATTGCTAAGTAAATTAGACCGAATCGTAAGCCAAAAAATTGATTTGTATTCCAAGATTCCAAAGCTATTTAACAAAAAGCTAAAAGTATTCTTGGGGTCGGAAAAATAAGTTACACAAGGTTTTTATGATTTTCATTAAATTTCTTTATTGACGCATTTTTTTTCGCTACTATTTTGGTGGATTACTACAATCATCAAAGCAACACATACATAGTTTTTCATCACTATAACAATAACTTTTTGGACAAGTAATGTTATTCCTTGGTGTTTGTTCAGGAGTACATTTATTTGTTTCACAACATAAACAATCTCCAAGATTTCCCATTCCAGTCAAACACGAATATGGCGTCTTTGCTTTGTCACAAGTTGGCCAACTTTTAAGGGGAACCCATTCTGGTGCTGCGTCATTTTTCAGAAACATGGCCAGTAAAATTAAACTTACAATTAAAACGTTTAAAAAATTAATGTTCATTGTAAAAACACGCACTTTGAAGAATAATGNGATTTGTTATTCCAAGATTCCAAAGCTATTTAACAAAAAGCTAAAAGTATTCTTAGGGTCGGAAAAATAAGTTACACAAGGTTTTTATGATTTTCATTAAATTTCTTTATTGACGCATTATTTTTCGCTACTATTTTGGTGGATTACTACAATCATCAAAGCAACACATACATAGTTTTTTATCATTATAACAATAATTATTTGAACAAGTAATGTTATTCATTGGTGTTTCGTCAGGAGTACATTTATTTGTTTCACAACATAAACAATTTCCAAAATTTCCCATTCCAGTCAAACAAGGCACCTTTCCTTTGCCACAAGGTGGCCAACCTTTAAGGGGAACCCATTCTGGTGCTGCGTCATTTTTCAGAAACATGGCCAGTAAAATTAAACTTACAATTAAAACGTTTAAAAAATTAATGTTCATTGTAAAAACACGCACTTTGAAGAATAATGTTGAAAAATTTTGGTTTTTGAAAATGAATCTAGGTGAAACGAATTATAATGGTTTTATCAGTAAAATGTTTGCGGGTATGTGAACTAATGAACATTGACCGCCAATACGCGTTGGTTTTATGCAAATATGAATATTTATTCAGGTGCTATTGAAAACAAAAATGTTGTTTACATAGATTTTGATTTATATTCAATATACACATTAATCGTGCAAAAATTAATAGTTATTTGCCGTTTAACAAAGAGTAAATATGATTTACAAGTGAATTTCTACATCATTTAAATAAATATGATTTTTATATATTATGCCTTAATTGCAGAAGAGATGCAGGGGGACTTTGTATCGCAACTCATTTTTCAAATCATCATTTTTACTAATTTTATTGTTTTATGTTGAACGGTACATTATATTATTGAAATTTATACCAAAATACATTATATTTAAATTCAGAACTTTTACTGTTTATGAAAAAAAATTGCTTCAATCCGCTCAACTTTTTTTTTAAATTGTCGAGCATTTTCGTTGGGAATAAAAGTATTGAAAAAATGTCAAGTATTTCAAATCTCTAAAAATAACATTAAAATCATCAAATATGAGATTCTAAGTGTAGCGAAAAATGTATTGGTTTTACTAACTTTATATTGTCCATTTATTATTCGTTTCTTGTAGTCGAATGGTCATGAATACGTATTGTTATATTAGGGGACAAATTTGGGTTCAAACTCGGTGTTGGAACAGAAATCGTTTGCATTTTTTCCCCCCTTTACCTAAATTGGAAAAATATAAATGCATTTTAAGTGTACCTAGAGACGTATCTATCGCTCGCTTGGATGATTTTAATCGAAAAAATACCCATCGATTTGTTGTGCAAACTTTTCTACTAGAAACCTTGCTCTCATATATATCAAGTGTACTTATTTTCTGATAAAATTTTTTATCTCTATGGTTAGGGAGGTAATTTTTGTGATTTTTCAATCGGTTTTCATAATAACTGGGAAAAACTGCGATCAAATATTGAAGAAATGGAAAATGTACGAAATGTAGGTATTAGTAAAAAAATATTATAGCCATTTTTTTCTGTATACAACTTTTCTATCTGCAATTTTGCTCCGATTTACAATGAAAGCATTTTTCTGAAACTAAACCTGACTGGGAAGGTACTTTGGGAGGTAATTTTTCGATTTTTCCTAGTATTTTCTTTAGCTAATGTGATAAACCGGGGAAAAATTTTATTGATTTTAGTTTTTGAAAGAACTGAGTTCAGAAAATATCACTTAATTCGACTAGTATTTATGTTACATCTATGATCTTGAAAATTAGATAATGTAAAATTTTTGTTCTGCAGTTGAACCAATTTCGCATTGATTGCATAAATATTAGAGTAAATTAGCCTATTTTTAAACTTAATGCTTTAAATTGAGTGGTGCAAATAGAGCACTTACACCACCGCATTTGTATTGTCTCGCTTAAAAGTTATTAATTGGACAAAAAAAACTGTCCTTCAAATACAGATATTACTCTTAGGTTTTTAGTTTGATAGTAAGCCAGTTAAAAAAAAGCAATCGTGACACGCAACGAGTCACTCAAAAATAATACTCTTAGCATATTGTTTTTGTTTTGATTATTTTTTAGTTAAATGGAAATATAGCATTTTAAAGTGACTTTAATAAAATAAACCGGTTTTTAATTTAAAGACGCTCGAATATGTGGTTTAACGAAAATAAATCGGTTTTATAAATAAAATGGGTTGTATTTTTGCTCATGTAAATGGAACAATCACTTTTATTTTGATATATGATAATATACATCATAATACATATTATTCAGATTTCATTTCTATAAATTATAACTTACGATTTTAATATTAAAGATTCTGTAACGTCCAAAAACGACCATTTTCCGTTTTCGTAGGACAAGGGTACCTACAATCGATATAGTCGACCGGTTAATAGATTACCCCTTGGTGACGGATATGTTATGTCATCGTGAACAATAATTCCCCCCGCGAAATGGTTTATGCGATCGCAATCTTTAGAAATTTACAATATTATATTCCTGACTACGGTTAACAGTCAATCATATCACGTTTCCCCTTATCGCTAAAAACATCGGCCCGTGGCGACGTGTGTCACGAACGTCTCGGCGCTCCGCTACTTTTTTCATTTTTTCGTTCCTTTCTCTCTTCGTGTCCAGACTTCGTCTCGAGACTTTGTCATCAAACGGTCTTTTGATACAGCATTTTGCTACAAATCTCCCGTACGGGTTCACATATTTTTTGCTATAAAGAAAGATCGTATACCTTAGCATGTTTCCTGGTGGTACCTCAAACGAACTAATGAGTCCCGATCTGGTCCGCTGGGTGAACATCTTCAGGCGAGATGATTGGTAAAATACATGTAATTTAATAATTGGCCGATATTCCATATAGTTAGGTAGTTTTAGGTTAGTTTAGTTAACGTCCCTCGTTTAAATATTTTGTTTAAAATGTTTTTTTTTCTCGCACCACCGATTGTTCATTATCATGTACACACCTCCCAACATAATACTTTCCCATTTGTGTACGCGTCCTATGGTCCGCGTTGTGTATGTTAAATTCGTGGACGATATAATATTTTATGTTAAATTCTTTCGTTATACCTACGGGGATCAACCAGCGCCTATTAAGTTTTTGTGCCTCCGTCTTATTGTAATAATCTCCGTGTTCCACTTCCTATGTGCAATAGGCAACCCCTTCCCATAGTTTTTTCTTCTTTATTTTTTTTTTTTTTGTATTCCCTTTTAAGCACTAAGCTTCGCAACCACGTGTGTGTGCGTATTTAAAATAAGAATCTATATAATATCGATCGATTTCCCCATCTCGCGATCCGTGTTTGAACGCACCCCGCAGGTTAACCCGTAGGGCCACCATAACTACGGACCAATCAATTTGGAATAAAAGCGTTCAGCTACCCTTCCCAGGTGTAATATGTGTGACCTGGCAAACACCACATCCCTGCTGGGGGTCTCCTAAAATATATACTGTGTCCACGAAATTCCTCGTGGAGGTCCGTCTCAATATATATATCGATCTGCACGCACGTGGATGTGAATTCGTTATTATTAACAAGTAATAATAAATCCCAGCCTGCAAGCTCCCATTGTTTTAATACACGGTCCGGACGACAAATTTTGGGACTGGTTGACGCCCCAGTTACATATATATGTATTTAAAATATATATACATTATTATTATCATTCATATAATTTATTATAACCTGGCACGCATAAGAGATTTGTAGTACTGTCTCGAGCCGTAGGTTTAGTTGACTATCATTGTTAGCATTGGTACCTACATTATTTGCTATATTATTATAAAATATGACTGTTTAATAATTGCATAAACATTAATATTTTATTCACTTATCTCAATAATTTTATGATTTTATAATATATCAGTATGATTTTTTACATATGATAACATGACATTTAACCTCTTGTGAAGAAATTGCTGGATCCTGTAATAAAAATTATTCCTTTGTACCAAAACTATTTTTATTTTTTTTTTTTAACAGAAGAAAGTTAAAAATATTAAAAAATTACATGTTTTATAATATAATGCATCAACTGAAAATGAATAGGACTATTGCCACATTAAAGAAGAAATATTTCATGTTATTTTTTTTTTATATATAATGATATTGTCACAAAATAAATAACTATTCATATTATTTATGAAATATGTTAGCATTTTGTGAAACTCTAGGTTTCTACTATAAAAAATAGTAACAATAATTTATTTCATTTAATTATTTATTATGCTTTTGACAGATGCGAAATTTGAAATAAATAATAATTTCCCTCAAATATTTGCAGTATATTTTTGACTTAAATGTTTATTAATATATAACAGGTGAGCAAATTAACAAATGTCATGGTTGTTAATAGTGAAACAAAACCCACAATATTGTAGATATCAAGTCTTAAGAATGAAAAAATTAACAATTTTAATATTAATAATAATCTTAATGACTAACTTGCTATTAGTGTGTTGACCCTTCTAAATTTATATTATATTTATTATTTGTTTTGTGCTTTTTTTAACTCGAGAATTTGTTTAATTTTATGTATGTGATTTTAATTATCCTTCTCACCTCTACTTCATTTGAGATTGGCCATGTTGGTCCTATATTAACTTTCCAGTTAACTTGGAGTTTTACATACCTCAGTAGTCCTCATATTACTTTCACAATTGTGTCCAACCTTCTTTTTGGAATTCATCTTTGCTATTCTATCCACACTAATTCGTAAAACTAATCTTAAAGCCTCAATCCCATCTCGTCTTATACAACATCACTAGACTCACCAACGGTCCGTAAAATTTAATTTAAAACTTGACCGAAATCCTCTATCACACAATACCCCTGGTGCCAATTTCATCAAATTACATTAATTCTTTATTTCATATCCTTCTAAAGTCCACCCATTTTCTAGTAAAAGTAATTCTTATTCAAAACTACATACTTTTCAACCAATTATCTAATCTAAAATATGTTTATCTATTTTTATCGATTTCAGATAATTTACCGAGTCCTTTCCGACGTAAGACATTTCGGCGTAAAATATGATTTTTACATTTTACGCTTTATTAACAACTGTTGTTTGTTTTAACCTAGAAAATAAATAATACCAACGGTATCACAAGACGAAAACAAAGTTAATTTTAGACATTTCGGAAACATTTTCAACTTAACTAACTTTTGAACATATTAAAGCAATCTAACTTGACTTATTATGCTTAATCTCCAAAGATTATCAAATAAAATATATGTTATAAACGTATTTAAATTTAAGTCGTCAAAGTTTATAGTTCTATTGATACTGTTGTCTATATGAATAATTGTATTATATTTTTCTTTATAAGATAAAATATGCATGCTCATAATTTAGAAACATAACAATTTTTCAACTATAACAATCAATATATTTTTGTATGGTTTTCAAAATAAAAATTATTTTAGATATTTTGTTTACATTTCAATCTGTTGCATAGGTTTCGAAAAGAGTTTTTATCAGATTTATTCCACAATTATTTTCTCATTGGATTACATAATTATTTATTATTGCCATGTGCTTTACCAGTTTTTTGGCTAATGAGCCAGAGATTTAACGAAATTATACGGGGTGTTTTGTACAATTTTACAAATGCAATGAGTTTTATTCAATATTTTTAGTTTATACATTTTTTTTCATGGGATAACAATATTTTAACCATATTTAAAATAAAATTAGCTATTTTTGAACTTAAATTATTTGTTTTTTCTTTATTTTGTATTATTTTTTTTTTACTCCGTGAAAATCGTCGATAATTAATCAAAATAATATATGACCATTGAAACGTGTCCATAAATTAAGTATAAAAATAAATACTTTGAACTTCCCCATTCAGAAAAATAAACAGCAACAACTTAATAATGTTTCAAATGTATTACAGAATGTGATAATTATTATTATTTAACTAAACTAAAAATATTGATAATAAAACAAAATACATTGCTTTTGTAAAATAATACTGAATAGTTCTACATAATATATAAATATTTATAATATTTGTGTATTATAAATAATGTACCAACAAGAGTATTTTTTTTTTAATTTGGTATTATAATGTATATATTTTTAACTATGTAGTTTTGGTAAGTTTAAAAAATTAATAACATTTGTTATTACGGTTCGTACGTGCGCATCTATAATATATATATATATATATATATATATATGTATTATATTATATTAAAATCATAGATATTAGACACTATATTTGTGTGAAAAAGGTTAAAAAAATTGTTTTAATAACAACGAAAAGAAAAAATTAAAATTAAATGTTCATTTCGTAAAATAATAAGAATATTCCCATCTTTGTGAATAAATCACAAAAAAACAAAAATATATAATAATATATATAGTAATAAAAATACGATTCTATATAAGTCACGTTGATTAGTCTACTGAATATTTCTACTTTTATAGTGGAAAAAAAAATCGTGACAATCTCCTTTCGTCTCGTCAATTTCCTCGCGTTTATGGCGTGTTCCTATCTTCCGTTATTTTTCCTCGCCGTTAACGTTTTTGTAGTTTTCGTCAACCAATTTGCTCCACTGGTTCATATTGTTCACCGCTCCTTCCTTCATTACATTTAATTTTGGATTCATTTGGCCCAGTGACTGTTTAGGGAGAAAAAAAAATATTATCAATACATAATTACATTTATATGATATAATAATAGGTATATTAAATATCGATACGGAATAAGACATCTGAGCAAAACGGACAAAAGATTCGACATTTTAAATTTTCTCACTGGATGACCAGTAAATGTAGTACCGTATAATAATAATAAAAACGAAAACAAATCAAATTTATTCGTGTGACACTTGCATCATTGAATATCTACTAAGGACAACATTAATTTAGAGAAATAAGGTGGGTAGCAAGGACAGGATAAAACGGTGTGATTGCTAACAATTACATGGATGAAAATGTTTGTGGATTACCTCCTCAGAAAGAAATGTCAAGATGTCGAGGTGTCGTCCCTTATGGTTATTCCGTATAGTTTTCGAAATATCGAAACTTGTATTTTTACCTGATACAACGGCAAACATATGTCAGCTATCCATCTGATCTGCAATTGAGGGAGTTCGTGTTGCCTTTCCCTGTCCATTAATGCTTGTGGCTGGATGTTCAGTTCGAATCTCTCCTTGTCACCCTGTTCGATGAACTCGTCCGTTACCAGTCTGGCGGCCCGCTGTTGCACGTGCCATTGCTTCGTGGACGCCGCCAGGTCAGATGACGTCATCAACATGGCCATCAATAGGTATCGTTGTGAATCTTCATCCCAACTGTATTCTTTCGACTCAATCAACCGGAAGAACTTGTTTCTTAATCTAAAAAAAAAAAAATATTATAAATTTACCGGCCACTTGAACCGTGTACTGCATGGTTTAGGCCTGTGTAGTCCATAAGTTTATCAGAGTAAAGAACAGGCCAACGTGTGTGGCAAGGACTGAAGCTATCCATACAGATAATACAATTATGAATGGATCGTTCTTGTTATCTATTATTAAAATACTTATAATATGGTGAATTATTTGCCTGAAAACAATTTTTTTCTAGTTACCCTTACCAAAATGGTTAATTGTGGTTATGAATACAGCTGTAAATTTTATTAAGAACGTAATCGAATTCATTATTTTAATCCAATATATCAATAATTACATAATCATGTATGTTTCAGTGTAGGTACCAAAACGATAACCATTATTTAATATAATTTCGTGGTTCCACATGTATCGTTTGAATCATAAACGAAGATTTTTGTGACGTAAAGTTTTTTTTATGAATAACACGATTATATTGATAGAAACATGGCCAGTGATTTTCTAACAATTAATTCGTATGTTCATATAATATGTTCTATATAAGGGTTAGAGACGAGTGATAGCCCGATTCCGCAATTACCGAAGGTACTGGACGTGCAAGGAACTCCCCGGCCCCTGTTAAATTATAATAATGAACCCAAAGCCGAACGATTTGGTCATAATTTGTTTTCCTAAATCATTAGTTATATTTATAACCTAATACAATATAATAGGTACATCGGCAGAAGGAAAAATAAATATTGATGTTTCTATTAGGTTATAGCAATAAAAACTATTATTTAATATGGTTGTAAATTAAATTTAGAAATATTCTTATATTTATAAAAGATTGTCGTTTAATATACGAATAAACATTAATTACGGATAATATAAACAAATACTCACTGGAAATACATGCAGAGATCGGTGGCTAATATACTGTGTTTAAGTACTTTCATGACAGTCGAAAAACTTTCGGCTGACAGACTCGAAAATATGTTAAGATTCTGAAAAATGGGAGAAAAACCAGTTATTGTCAAATCCGTGTATATTATGACAATGACTAGATGTCTAGATCAAATATATTGTATTACAGTGGTACTCACTTCACTGCTGAGTATCATAACCGCGTGATTGAAATGATGATGTTCCATTGTGTTGGTAGTACCGTACAGTAAAACTAACGCAGATCTGGCTCTAGAAAAAAAAAAAAAATTATAATATTTTTTTCAAAATTTTTATTCATGCGATTTGATTGAGAAAGACGCGGACACATTAACGGGTATAACTAAATCGATTAAGTTAAACAAAATTAAGGCTTCAATTAAAAGTGATAAACATCAAAAATTGAAATTTAGTTAAATAAATATTCGATATTTTAGCAATATTTTACCTTTTAGTTAATTGTCGTTTCGTTCAATATTATATACCTCCTAAATTTATAAATTAACTATACAATTTTCAAGAGAATAAACATGTTCGAGCATCCATCTTCAACATGTTAACTCAATTGGATGTAAAAAATGCAAAATTCTGAAAATTAACTGAACAAAGTTGAGTGAAAGATAAGTGAACTAAACATGAGATAACAAAATAAACAAATGTAAGTCATTAACGTATTATTTAAAAAAGTTATTATGAGTTAAATTGTAAATATATTAAGCGGGTATTATACCAACAATATCATGACGGGGTTGTGTAAAGAAAATGTTCAAGAATAATAGAAAATAAAAAAATAGTCTGATGTTTATTTAAGAATCGCAGCGTAGCAAAGGATCTATTGGTTTTACCATGCGTGTTATTGTATTTTTTTTTTCTTGTATATGAAAAACTTTTCTACCAAAAATCTACCTCCGACCGATAGAGTTTAGTTCCTTTTCCGATAAGTATTTTTTTCCAGTTGATGATCTGAAAAAATTATTTTTTGGTTTTCCGAGGGATTTTCTGCAAATATCAACGTTCTCGATTTCATTGCTTTTCATTTTCATTTAGTTAAACGATGTTTTCTACTAGTAATGTTACATGAATTAAAAAAGACAAAAGGTCGATTTTATTACTTTTAATGTACGACCACTGACAAAAAAAGTCATTTTGATACCTAAAGTATTTTTTATATTAATTGGGAAAAACCAAAAATGATGAAAAATATGATTTTTCTTTTTTAAGAAAGTCCATGTAGCAATTTCATTATTTAATACTTTTAAGATTATTTTTTTTTACCGGAAATCTTTGTCAAAATTTTAAAAATAGTATATTTTCCGATAAAAAATTTTGTCTAGTTGATGAGTAAAAAGACGTTGTTTGATTTTTAGTGAATTTTTCCAAATAATTACGAAAATCCGGGGAAAAACGTAATACGACAAAATGTACGGCTTTAGGTTTTTAGGCTATTACTAGGTAATTTAAATTTTCGTTTTATTCAATGTAATTTTATTTGGTACCGGTGAGTTGTAATTAGTGGTATAAAATCAAATCGGTTTAAACCATTTGTTTTTTTTTTTTTTAATAAACGTTATAGAAACAAACTTTGACGAAAATCGTAAAAATAACAGCATTTCAAAAAAATTATTATTAAACGTCAATAAACGACAAATGAGACAAAAAAAAAAAAAAAAAAAAATGTTACTAGAAATCATTACGAATTTTGACGATTGGAGAAATATTTCGGACACAAAAAGTTTTTCATCTTAATGACGATTTTTACAAGACTCTTATTTTAAAATGACTAAACTTTTGTTTAGGATGTTCTATAAAATTTAAAAACTCAAACACAAAATTGAAATATAATTATCATTTTATGAAATATCGTCTTTAAAATGATTTTTTATCATAATTATATAATCTAATATTATTAGAAATAATTTATTATAGT